ATCATATTCGGCCATCAAAGCTTTTCCCGCATCCTTTTGTTTTGAAAGGAGGAACTTATTCTTGTAGTAACAAGTGTTTTTGGACACTGGTTTTCTACAATTCACAGCAAAGTGGCCCAACTTTCCACAGTTATAGCACTTTGTATTTTCATCTGCCACTCCCTTCACAAACCTCTTCTTCTCATCAGTCTTCTTATCAGATTTCTTCTCAAATCTTTTCTCTTCATATTTCTTTTTTTTTTCTCCAAACTTATATTTGAATTTGTATTTCGAACCAGATGAAAATCTCTGACTATTCGAATGTATTTTCTTGAAAAAAAAAATTTGAAACGCCTTTGTCAGCATGACCAGTGCCTGCTTTATCTCTTTCATTTCTAAGTCAGAATCAATTTCATTACTGTCTAAACTTGATGACTCACTCATCTGAACAATGTCCTTCACATGCTTGCTGGATCTTGTCTTACCTTTCTTTTCAGAAACAAAAGTTAAGGGATCACTCACTTCCTTCTCTTTCTTCTTCTTCAGGTCTCTAATCTCCGACACATTCTATTCATTCTGCTTTAATGTTTAATATACGTCGTGAATGTCAATATCATATAATGATTTGTTATATCTGATATTTTTTGCAAATTGTTTCCACTCTGGCTGCAGATTGCTCGGAAAGTTGACATTGATTTCAATCCTTGTCTTTATGATTTTATTCTTTGTCAGCTCATTCAAAAGTCTTGTTAACCTATCATACACATCATCAAGACTCTCTCCCTCATTAGCCTTGAACTTTTCATAGCTTGTGATGCAATTAGTGACTTTCAATTGAGTACCCACCTTGGAACCCATCATCATTCTTTCAATCTGCTTCCACATACGGTTTCCAGAAGATTTATAGCTATCAATACTTGTGTAAATATCATTAGTTAACTCTTGCATCATCACAATACATCAACATGTGCTCTAGCATGTTCATTAGCACTGTATTTTTAATTTTCTTTGACCACAATTTCAGATGGTTTGTTTTGTTATGGAACTGCTGGTATTTCCTTCTAGAATATAGTTGGACCATCCATCAGTGATTCCATGCTCAACTCTCCTTTCTTTTGTCTCTCTATAAATTTCAGAAAGCGATATCTTCATTAGTTGTAGTCACCTCTGAAAAGAACACGTGATTTTTTATCTGTTCCAATAGCCATAGCTTCTTTTGAATTCATTTTGTCTGATTTAAGAAAATGGATCTTTGTTGTTCAAGATTTTAATTCAAAAAATTAATATTCAAAAGACTTTATCAAAATATTCACACACAAAAGTTTCATACACACGAATACGGTCAAAACACACTAAAGCCTCTTATCCAGATAATGTCTCTGGATAGAATATCTCCGGATGATGTTTCTGGACAAAGATGTCAAACAAGAATCAAGAAGGTTATCGGACAAGGTGTCTCCGGACACTTAGATTTAAGATGATAAAAATTCTTATCCAAATCAACACGTATACGGACAACTAGCAATCCGGATATAACAACAATAAGGCAACACTTGAATATTCACAATTGAATCCGAATGAAGGTTTCACCGGATAACAATGAGACCGGAAAAAGTATTAGCCGGATACAAAATATCAATTTCAAACCACAAAATACTCTTCGGATAACAAATCTTACAACAATCAACAATCTTGGCCGGATTTCACAAAATCTGACAACAAACAATTCAATGACCGGATATGAACAAGTTCGGACATCAAACAAGTTTCAATGACCGGATATGAAGAACAATCAACAATATTCAATGTTCGGATATTACTAATTCGGAAAATAATCAAAAATTCAATGACCGGATAGAAATTCAAATCGCTCAATGAATATCTTCAATGAGCGATGATTGACAAACACCATTCTACCAAAAATACACCACAATATTGATCAAACACACAAAATATAAGAATTTTTATATGAACAGTAACTTTCCAGAAACTTTAGAAATTCTTCAAATTTTGACAATTAATCGATCAATTACACAAATTGTTTAAACACAATGATTCTCAACAATAATTCACACAAGATTAACAGTAAATCAAAGATCAAACAACAAAGAGTAGATGATTTTTTATGACAAAATGAAGAATATGATCAAATATCCTCAAGAACACTCAAGAACTTATGAAGAACAATCCGAATATGTTCAAAATTTCCAAAGTTCTATGTAGAATTTTTGAATTTTGTGCAGATTTTCTAATCAAAATCGCTACAGTTTGCTCTGAAACCAAATGAGAATCCCAAATCTTCAAATCAGATAAAATCAATCAAGAATAGAAAACGAATCTAGAGAAAATTTTCACCAAAGGATTTTGTATTCAAATTCTTTGAAGATTACAAATGATTACAGCTACTCTAAAATTACGAGGAAAAGACTATTTATACCTACAAAGTTTAAAGGCTAAATTTACAAAATGGAGAAACTCTTGAATATAACATTAAGCACAACATAAACCCAATAGAATGCTTTGAGAATCAATAGAAGTATGCTCAGGAACTTATTGATGTTCAAATTCGATCGAAAAAATTGGCTCATCTTCATCCATGTCAGCTTCAATGTTAAAGAACATATCATCTTAATCATAAAATGTATCAATATCAGCTCCATAATCTTGAACTCCACCCAATTCTCTTGAAAATACTTCATTGAACCCAATATTTGCTAACAGATCCAGTAGCAACCTTGTTGGAACCTAGATTCCTCTTAATTACAGAGAACAGAGATAAATCAGAATATGAGTATAATAATAGTTGTGTAACTGGAATGGTCTAACAAAATATTCAAGATAAAATATGAATGCAATATAGACTTGAATAAGTTGGAAGCTTTTATTAGATGAGAAGAAATAACAATAAAGCTCTCAATCTAATTGTATTCTTACAAGATTTCTCTATAGTCTAATTTGGCATTTTCAGGTAACCTGTAACCTCGGGAAGATGCCTCCTTATATACGACTGAACTAAAAACGAATCTCCTAGAATCTTGGCTTGAAACTCTGAGTTCTTGTTCCACATTCTTATCGTTCACGTTCCTTGGAAAGTGGAGCTGACTGAGACAAGCCTCCTAGAATCTGTTAGAAATCTTGCGGGAAAGTCTAAACCGTGCACGCAGTCCTTGGGAGTAGGAGACTTAGAGGCTCTGCATGTATTATGTAGAGGCTTTGTGTCTTGAGTGAAGCTCTACATCAAGCACTTAACCTTTTTGGCCCTTAAGTCTTGATCTTCCCTGGAGTAGAGCACGAGCTCTATATATGAGACACTTTCTCTTGACTAAGAGCTTTGTCTCTTGAAGTCTTCTGCTTAAGAGCTCTTGGTCCAGACCGCTTCAAAAGACTAATTCCTAATGATTATAGTTAGAGACTTCTTACTTACACTTTTACAAGATGAGGTCTAACAATCTCCCCGTAAATATAAATAAGACAGACTCTTACTAGAATGAAAACACAAGTCTAATCGAAGCTAGAGGCAAAAAAGAACCTTTGTATTACATTTACTGTTTAAAGTTTTTACAATAATATGAAAGGAAATTACATGACTTGAAATTCAAAAAACAAAAGATAGTTATAACTTACAATGGTAGAGGCCTAGATATTTTGGAGCTTCATGAACCTCCTAAGAATCTCACCAAACTATAATACATTATCTATATATCTGACCATGTTGCTCGTCCTCTCCTTTGCGCCCGGGGTAGTATCTATGTTTCTTAAAAGATTGTTCTTGATGTACCGCAGAGTTGAGTTAGAGTATTTAAAGTGCTGATTTTCATGGAAGAACACTTTTATGCCTTGTTCACTCCTGAAGATCACCCCGTGTTCTGGCTCTACCAACAACGTCAAGAGGGGATATGCTTCATGCCTTCAAAGTCTTCATTTGGCGCAGTGACACTAAGCTGGTCTACCCCCATATCCAAAGCAATCTGGAAGTCGAGCTTAGTCCTTTAGTCGAGAAGGTCCGTTATTGTTTCTCGTATTGCTGAGTTAGCCAGAGCATATTTCATACCCTTGTCCCTCTTATGATCGGTGAAGAAGTACAAAGACACAAGATCCCAGGGATTAAGATTGATAAGGTCGCAATCTGTAAAGGTCCAGATCTGCCCATGGGATCTCTCTATCGTGTACTCGTGAAAGACAATTTGGTTGTGGGCAAAGGTCCATTTTCTAAAATCCAAGATCTGCTTGATGCCATCCACTGAGTGAATTGCATAAATTGGTTGAGTAAATTGGTGTATGAACCTATGCCTTATATTTTCTTGAGCCATTGGATGCAGGTTGATCTTCTGAGTGGGTACCTCATTCCTTTAGCTGTAAAGATATTGAAACAAGTCTTCGCTGTCAGCAGCGTCCTTGATTGGCTTCTCACGAGGTATGGGCCTCATCATTCATACATTTGTTCCTTTGGTCCCTTGGATGGGGACCTTAGCTCTGTGGGTATTGCGGTGTGGTGGTGGTGTGGTGACGGTAACCTTGGTAGATAGTGGTATCACCATTGGAGAAAGAGCATTTTATGTTCTTCGTTGCTTCTTCTCTAGCTCCATGACGTTCACCACTACCACCTCTTATTCATCAATCCTCATGGATGGAGTGGATTCCATGAAGTAATCCACGGATGATGATAGGCTCGATGACGATGAAGAGGCATAAATTGAAAGAAGCTTGATGGTGTCCTCTTCATCAGCCATCTGTCTTGCCTGTGTGGCTCCTCCAGGTGCAGCCGACACCATTTCTTCTCTGACAGCCTCCTCTTGTATGTGAACAGCCTTGGATTTTTGATTTGATGGCACAGGGCTTGCTCTTTAGGAGTAGAGGCAGAGGGCAACAAGAGGGATAGTGCTTGTTGATGCAGCAGGCTATTTCTCTCCCTCTTGACGACTTTGAGGACCAGATTGGTCTGGATCCTCATTGTCGTCAATCCTCCTCTTCTTCAATGCTTCTGTACTGGTGGATGGCTGTGTCGGCTTACACTTTGGCTTCTACACATCAGTGGGAGCCATTGCCTTGACCTTTGCGTCAAAGAAGTCAACAATATCTGAAGCTGCGGTAGAGTTGGTGATCTCTACGTCCGCTCTAAACTTGAACGCAGCCAAAGAGCGGCGCATGTTGATGACCGCCTGCTTGGTTATATTGTTGAAGTCAGAGGTGTAGTTCGCCACCTTTTCAAGTAGTTGATCCAGATCCCGCATCTCTTTCTGGGTGATGTGGTCAACAGGGACACTCAGAGGGATGAGCGTTGTCTGATCTTGAGTTGAGGTGGAGGCAGCATCCCTCTGAATGTGAGCAACGACCTTTTGCAGGGTCTCTGTATTGATTGTCGTCAATTCTTGTAATTGTTCGAGTCGAGTAGCATTTGTCAAAGACTCGGATCTCAATACTGCTAAGGATGATCGAACCTCATCCAGAGTAGGTGCAGAGTTTATGGCTCTGCACGGGCCATGTTGAATTTTAGCTCATCGAAAGAGCACAACACAGAGGTGGCAAAGTATTGGAACTCATCCTTTATGACATACGATGTTGTGGTAACCTCTGGCTCAACACATGAGCCAGTTTCAGTCCTTGTTCCTATGACACCTTCTTTCTCGACTTGTTCGATGTTGGTTCATGAAGGATTTCCAGCCGATCCTTGTGTCTCTCGTAGAGGAGAAGACACTACAGCTGTTCTGTCAAGAGGGATTTCCTCAATTCAGAGTCTAAAGAGGAACCCTCGTTGATTGGACTAAGAGACTTGCCGAGAGTCTTTAAGCTGTATGCACCAAATCCTTGCTCTGAACAAGGTTGGGAGATATCTAGTGCATACGAAACGAATTCCTCTGTATGGGAGAGTGGCGTGGCATGGGGAGACATGCCACTTGTCTTTTCAAAGGTATCACCCTTTTAAGAGGGTAAGCCCTGCAATGTGGCTTCCCTTTGGGTAACTTGGCTAGAGGAAGATGCGACCTCTGGCTGGCTTGGCTGGCAAGGGTTCGAGGTGTGTGCCTCATGTTCAATGACTCCTGTTGCTCGACCAACTGAGTCAGATTGGGTGGATGCACTAGGAGTTGGGCTTGGAATATATATGTGTCTATTCTACTTCCAAGGCTGCTCTGGCTCTTTTTGAGCCAAAGCAGCTGCTCTCTCTCCTCCTTCATCATTCTCAGATGAAGAAGAGCTCTCATCGTCACTCTGTTCTTGCTCCTCTTCAGAGTCCTCTGTGTCAAAACTTGAAATTTGTTCTTGTTGTCGACGCATGGCCTCTTCTCTCTTCTTCCTCTCTTCCTCCTCCTTAGCTCTCATTTCTTCCTCTCGCCTCTCTCGTTCTTCCTTCTCTCTCTTTCTATTTTCCTTTTTCTCCCTCTTTGATTGGGCTTCCTGCCTCTTCTTCTTCAACTTCCTCTCTCGAGTAATGGTTTTTTCTCCTCTTCTCCCTCGTGGGTTGTCCCTATGCATGTCGAGGTTCAAGGAACTAGTTCTAGTTCCTCGCCTACACGTCTGTATGCTCTCTTCACCTCCCTCGTCTTCATATAGGCCACCAGCTTCGTTGGAATGGGCCTCTCAGCAGGATAGCCATCCTTGTGCATTGTAGGTTTGTAAGTTGAGAGCACATGCACCTTGTGCACAAAAAGGCCTGTGACGTCGATGTTATGCTCCTCAATACTAGGTCTTAGAAGAAGACCTATAAAGCGTGGGAAGAGCAGAGCGGGCAACTCCTTTACCTTAGAGACGTCAAGGATCTTCTTGGCGACCGCAACCTTGAATTCAGTATATAATCAAGGAGTTGTCGAGGGAAAAGTTGAAGAATAACCCATGTACGATCTGCAGTATATTTGTTGAGCACATGTCGAGGCTGCCAATTTTTCCCTTCAGAGAGATATTATGTGAATAGGAAATTCCACATTGGTGGCAGGTATTGTCTACGGTACTGCGACGGGTACTAGATTTGTTGGTTGTACCCCAACATCTTCAGAAAGGCCACCAGCTCATACCCGGTTGGGAGAGGTGCATATTTGCTCAAACCAAGATCTGTCTTGGTAGGTAGTTGAAGGACGTGGGAAAACAACGACCTGGAAATACGAACAGTGACGTATTCCTTGGTGGACGGAACATAAAAATCACCAACAATCCCACGTTGGGAGTCAGTGATGTCACAGGACTGCCAAAATTCCTAAATGAATCGCTCAGGAATGGCGTCATCCGCGTTTGTGAGGGTAGGGTTAACAAAATGATGATGAAGGATGTCAACGATTCGGTGAAACTTGGAGTCGAAACTGTCCAAGATTAGGTAAAGAGGGTGGTTATTGCGTTTCAAAGAAGAGGGATGATGTTTTAGTTATTTCCCTCAATGGATTTGAGAGTCGTGGTATGTGTTTGGGAGTTGTTTGATGCGGAAGTAGACATTCTGCAGGTTTCTTGGCGTAAAAGAAGAAGATGACTAGTATTGGGTTTTCTTGGGAAAAGTTAGGGTTTAAGAAAGGTTGTTTAATTAGTTCTTGATTTAGTGTTTTTAGAACAGATTTGGATTCAAGAAACTTACTTGCTATGGGAAAATCGATTGAATCGAACTAGAATAATGTTTTGTAGGGCTTGAAGTTCGTCAATGGCGGTTGACATTTCTTGAGAGTAATAATTTGAGAGTTTTTGAAAGCGTAAAGAAATTTGAAATTGGGGATAATGACTCATTTAAATAAGCATTTCCTAATAGGCATTCAAGTGAAAATCTCCCCGAAGCATCAATAACTGAAGGGTTTTCTTCGCAAGCCTGTGGGGAGAAGCCACATGGCTTGACAAGCTGTGTGTCCCGCCTCCCTTATTTGAAAAATTAGGGATACAGGCGGTGAGCTCTCTGACATTAAAAAATATTAAATATTTAATTACGCCTTCATATAAAAGATAAGAGAAATTCAAACAAAGTTTTGACAAAATTGGAATGGAAAGAAATTTTTGTTTAAGACAAAACACTTAGAAAAAAAAAGAAGAAGACACATACTCTGGGTCATAGAGAAAGATGAAAACCTGTGTGAGACAGATGCTCTGTATGATAGATACAGAGGTGTTGTACATGAGAAATTGAAGATGAGATAAGAGATGAAACCAGGGTATGGTTATAGGAAAGAATTACGTACCTTAGAAATTCACACAGAGACTCATGGTTGGACTATACAGATATTCTCTCTTCAAATTTGGAAATTTAAAGAGACATAAGCTCTCTATAGTACATACAGAAGCTTTGTATGGTCAACGATCCAGTGCTCCCCCTTGAATTACGCTATCTGATCTTTCTCCCCCTTGAACTATGCTTTGATCACAAAATCATAAGAAGTGTACAAGCACTGTGAACAAGGTATAGAGACTCTATATTGTATAAACAGAAGCTCTATATGACAAACACAAAAAAAATCAAGCAAGAGGCGCTGCATAGTAGATGCAGAGGCTCTGTCTTATAGACGAAAAACAAAATATCCAAATGTCAAACAGAGAAATGCTCGAGAAGGATGCAGAAGCTCTATATTGTACATACAGAGTTTTTGTCTGAGTTAATGAAGATTAAGCATATCCAACTTGCTAACTAAGAAATTGAATCTCTTTTCATCAAAAGCCTTAGCAAAAATGTCAGCAAGTTGATGGTCTGTATTGACAAAGAACATTTCAATTGTACCTTTCTCTACATGGCCTTTGATGAAATGGTAATGCACATTGATGTGCTTTGTTTTTGAGTGTTGTACTGGATTCGTTGTGATCGCAATCATGCTTTTAGAGTCACAGAGGATGGGAATCTTCTCAAACTCAACGACATAGTCTTTGAGTTGAGTCTTCATCCAAATTACCTGAGAACAACAACTTGCCGCGGCTACATACTCTAATTATGCAGTCGAAGTAGATACGCAGTTTTGCTTCTTGGATGTCCAACTGATGAGCTTGTTGCCAACTGATAATCCCAAAATCATACAAATCAGATTAATCCTTCAAGAACAATTGAGATGAGTAGAGAGAGATTTTCACCAAAATTAAATATTGTATTTCTTGAGAGAATTTGTAGAAATGATTAACAGCAACTAATATGAATTGAACTGAACTAATTACAATTAACAAGCTAAAAACTATGTATCACCATCCTTATTGTGCCATCACAGTATTTATTCAGGTCAATGAATCTCATGAACTTCTTTATCCGACCTTCAACACTATACACCATACCGAACTCCGGTTCTTCAGGAATGATATACAGAGGATAGCTTTCAATATCTTAAAGTTCTTGATCCGGTCTCTTCAAGTTAATGATTCTCTGGTTGTCTTCAAGACCCATTTGGATATCAAGAACCATTGATACTTTGACAGGACTCCGCATAAATCTCTTGATAGCATTAAGACCAACAAGTGCTCCTTCTCTTTTGACCTTCATATTCCGTAGTTCGTGGTACATGTGCTCCAAGTCTTCTAAATACAGTTTAGAGAAATCAGCTTCGCTAAATACCCAGACCTTTCCATCTTGTCGTGTAACAGTGAACATAGGATACCAAACTTTAAAGTGTCTTTGGGGATCAATTTCTTTGATAGAGACGACTTGATGTTTGGTCCGTACTTGGCTGATCAGGAGACGCTTTGCCTTAAGAAAATGCTTGTTCTCTAAAGGATAATCTCTGGTTTCTTTGTGAATCCCAAAAATCTTGTCAGCACTGAGAGCTTTGCGGTACTAGAGGAATATACCGAAGTAAACGTCTTCCAGATAGGGTTCTCCGATTCTTGCTCTATCATAACCTGGAATGTTAGCACGAATTGCGAACAACACATAGTTTTTAGTAAAAATCTCAGTAGGATCATACGCCGCTCTTGGAGTTTCAGATGCACCAAGATCAACTGCAATGGAGGGTTCAAACGGAGTCTGATGATCACCCTGGAATGGGAAGATAGGATCTTCTTCATTGATATCGGCTTCAAAGTCAAAATACATCCCGGATGATTCATCAATATTGTCGATATCTTCACCAAAATCCTGATCTCCACCCAGTTCTTTAGCAAACGCTTCATGGAATCCCACTTTGGCAGACAAATCTAGAAGCAACCTTGTTCCTACAATGGAGTCCGTCGGCTTTTAAACCATTGGCTCGATCACTGGATTTGTCTCCAAGACTATCACATCTTCAGCCATTATTGAGCCTGTAGTCCTTTCCCTTGTTGTTTCCGGATCATGACTTTCAACGTTAACTGCTTGAGAAATTGGCTCCCTTTCAACACTTTGAACATGAATAGACGACTCAGCCAGCCTCTGTCTCTTTCTCTCCCCCTCCTGATGATCAGGATCATCCGGATCATCATGTCTTCTTTTCAATGAGGTGGCTTGAGCTCGGCACGTATCATCTAGAATTGATACCCTTTCAGATAAGGCATCAATTGAACTTTTTAAGGCTTGAGTGTTTGATGTAATTAACTTACTAACTTTTGAGAAGTTAGAAGCAACTACATCTTGAAAGGCCAAAAACTCTGAGGCTCTAACAGTGGGGTTGTCATCAACAAGTTGTCGGAGGAGCCCAACCAGGTCTGCATCAGCCGCATCTGGATTTTGAATAAATATGAGCTTTGCGTACAACAACGATTTAAGTTCATCCACCGATTGCTCTTGTACCCTCGGAGACTCAAGTACAGGTGGTGGTGACGGCACAGACGGTTGATCATCAACTACTGGTTCCTTCCCCTTCATCATCCTTTTGAGACTAAGGATTTGCGCTTCCATATAATCTTGAACAACCTTTAGGGAGCCGTCCAGATATTCCCTTGACACAAAATCGGGTAAGATCACATCTGGATCACATAGATTTCCAGTTGAAACAATAGTTGAATAAACCGTTGTGCCTATGTTCAGTGTTGGCGTAATGTTAGCATTGGTAGGACTTCCAACCTGTCCTCGTGGTAAGTTAATAGACTCCACTATGGTTGTTCCGGCAGGTTCACTAAGAACCGCAATTGGAGCAACAGATGCTCTTGACTCTTGTGTACCTATGTGTATGGGCTCTATACTCGAGGTGCACAGAATCGAAGTCGTAGGTTGGGGCAGAGGCCTACTATTTTCAATATCTACATTCTCTGAATGAGAAGTAGATAGACTATGTGTTAAATCCCTATGAAGAATTGAAACTATTGGTTATTGAGAATCAATTGAGTGGCAAGGAGGGGTGTGCAAATGCATAGTTGGGCTAGCTATGTCTGCTTCAATACCGACATTCAACGAATCAATGTCGATAGTAGATGTGGGTGCCCGACTAACTGTTTCAGCTGGGATAGAAGCTTGTTCTTCATTTTGTGCTCCACTCTCACACTCCCCATCTTTTTCTCCGTCCCTTACACTCATATTCTCAACATTTTCTACTTGAGCTCCCTCATCATCTTCAACTGGAACATCCTCCAGTAAACGATCAAAATCATCAAAGGTTCCTCCAAATTCTTCAACATTGAAA